CATGTTGCTGAAGGGCTTTCAGCAACATGGGAACCACTTTTAACAACATGTTTCCATGTTGCTGAAGCTAAGCATTTTAGTAGTGTGTGGCGAAGCCTACTGTGGATGATTAGATCCGTCATGCTGCCGCTCTCAACTTCAAGAATCACCTCCGATTCTGTTGGATGCCGTCTAATGACCCCAATGCCGGTCCAACTCTCATCTCGATCCTAGACCCCAAGAAGGAGCAGATTAAAGCTCTAATTGTGTCGTTAATGCTATCTTCCTCTCCTCGCATCCAGAGCCAGCTTAGCGAGGCCCTTGCTGTCATTGAAAAGCACGACTTCCCCAAAGCGTGGCCTACTTTGCTTCCTGAGCTCGTCACCAGCCTCCAAAAGGCTGCGCAAGTCTCGGATTACGCATCTATCAATGGTATTCTTGGTACTGCCAATTCTATTTTTAAAAAGTTTAGGTATCAATATAAAACCAACGATCTTTTGCTTGATTTGAAGTATTGTTTGGACAATTTTGCAACCCCATTATTAGAAGTTTTTCTTAAGAGTGCTTCTGTGATTGATTCTGCCATTGCTTTAGGTGGTGGCTCTGTTGCTACCCTTCGACCTCTGTTTGAGTCACAGAGATTATGTTGCAGGATATTCTTTACCTTGAACTGTCAGGAATTGCCTGAGTTTTTTGAGGATCACATGAGGGAGTGGATGGGTGAGTTTAAGAAGTATATCCTGGATCTCCATGGACTTCAAATCTATAACTTATGGAGGTACAAGTTCTGGTTCTTTAGGGTTCTTTTGCCCAGTATAATTGTCCATGTCAACCCAACTTTCTAGACCAAATTGCAGAGATTCCTAAAGAAAATTGCAGACTTTGTAGGTTTTTGGGTTTCAAATCAGCAAAGGAAGGAGAAGGAAAGAGAGAAAGAAAGGAAGAAACTCTCGGCCTTCCCAACCAAAAGCCTTTAAAATATATAAATATTTTAGGTGGATCCCACTTAAAGAGAAAGAGTTGAAGTGACGAGAATTTGACGTGGACAAAAAAATACCATGGTGGATAAGTTATTTTCCACGTCATTAAAGATTTAAAACAAGAATTGATTTCGTGTCAATTTAATGTGCCATCTAGCATTTTCGTCGACGAAAAACGAAATTGGTTCCAAAAATTGAAGTTCATGGATTGTTTTAATACTTTTTGAAGTTCGAAGGTAAATTTAGTTTAAAAATGAAAGTTGAGGGACTGAACCGAGATCTAGCCTAACATTAAAGCACATGCTCCTCGCTTAATAATTTAAATTGTACTTTAATATAATTTAGATTGAAAATTTTTATGACTTAAAACATTTTCTTGTTTAGCAATACAAAAAAAAAAAGAGTATGAATTTCATTGAATTATACAATTAAAATTATTTTAAGTTAATGTTAAAAATTATAAATTTATTTAGATTTAATTTGAGAGCACTAACATATAACTGCAATTTCTTTTTTTGTCTTTTAATATCTTAAAATATATAAAATATATGTAATATTTATTTTAATTAACCACTACTGGAAAAAGCAGTATATTCGACAGCGGATACTGTCGAATATGAGTGATTTTCTGTCGATTAAACTATAATCGACAGACATATTCGACAACTTTTTTTGTCGAATATACTGCAGTCGATAATCAGTATATTCGACAGCCAATTTTTTTGTCGATTAAATAAGTTTAATCGACAGAAATTTACTGTCGAATATATTGATAATCGACAGAATTTCGCAAATTTTGTCCAGTTATATTCGACAGCCGGAAGCTGTCGATTAAAC